CGGATGGGACGAAAGGAGGCGGGGACCAGCCTCTAATACGATAAAATGGTCTTCAGATTCGCGAGTCGTCCTAGCTCCATATATAATAATAAGAAAAATCAAATTTCCCGAATATATACCGCCAATAATAGCCAAATCCAGGGCGACTTGTCCTTTCAAATTAGAGATCGATGGCCAGAATATAATATATCGTCTATCTGATATATCGATATAGTTTTTCTAATAGCCGTCATTGGAGACGCAAGGTCTCTGGATATTAAATCCAAATGTCGTAGACGATTTGAACGATGGGCTATTCGATTTATTCAAAAAGATTCTGGGAATTTTCTATTAGAAATGATGGCAATATATCAATAGATTCAGAATATCATTTAATCTCATTATATAGATTATCATGATTAATCTATCTAGATAAAATACAATATATTCTTTCATGATTTGTCGTATCGCAATCTCTTGATTTTGGGAGCGGATATAAATATCTCTTATCGATTATATATATGAGATTGGAAGATAGAAGAATTTTCTCCGGACAGAATAAGATTCTATATTTGGGATCTTATCAATCGAATTTCTATATATATATATTTATTATAGATCGATTATTTTATATTTTATCTATTCTTCAATCTCATATAATCTATCATAGAATCGTTCGTATTCTATTTCATATATTAATAGAGATCTTTATAAATATCTTCGTGCAATTAATTATATTGCTTAAATTAAATTAATCTATTTTTTCGTCTTATTTTAGCCATGAATATTTCTTATATTATGTAAAAAAGCATAGTTAAAGCGATCAGTGCAAATTCATAATCTAATATTAATATTATTCATTAAATTCTTCGTATTTCTCCATAATATTCGAAGCTTATATATAATCTTTATTCGAAAAATATTTTTTCTTATCCATGAATTTATTAAAAAATTATATAAAATATATCTTTTATCATAGATAATCATCTCTTTTATCTCGAAAATCAAATCATTTTTTTATATTAATTAATCCTATTTTATAATTTCAATATTATTTTCATAATAAATTCAAGAATATTATATATACATATACGATCATCAACGGCATATTATTTTATAAAAAATAAGAAAATTCTTTTTTATTAGAATAGATTGTTATCAAATGCCGGGCCAATAATGCCGTCCTAAAGTCTAATGTCAATAATAACTTAAATTCCTTATTCCCGCATTTTTCTCCGTAGATTCCGTATATAAATCGACCCTAAGAAGAAACGTCTTCCATAAGAAAATTTTAATTTTCATTAATAAATAATTTATTCTATTAATTTACGTAGAACAAATAATATTTTGAAAGAACCAGATATTCGACAAAGATTATAAAGAGAAATATAAGAAAAAAAAATATATATATATATTAATTAACAAAAGAGTGTCCTAGAATTCCTAGAATTGTTGAATACTCATAATCAATTAATTAATATCATTTTCTAGACTTTTCTTAAAAAAAAAACATATCAACCGATTTAAGATCCATACTACAATATATCAAGAAAATACAGATTCTTCAATAAATAAATATAAAATATATGACTTATTATATCTAAACTAAACATTCGATATATATTTCTTATGAAATATAATATATATATATATATCGATTTTGCCTTTGGGTTACGCAAAAAAATCGTCAAAAATTTCGTTGTTGTCAAAAAGCCCGCTTCTTTCTCTTTCAATCTCACCACGTTTTGCGAGAATACAAATAGTTAATTTAGAAAATTCATATATATCTATATATGTATATATATATATAGTGCCGGGCCGCTAGTTCGACCCACTAGCTTCAACAACGAAATCGAACCATGCCCCCACCCTACTCCTGACACAAGTGAGCATTTGGGCCTCCTCCGCAATGAATACTAACTTATTTTAATTCTGAAGCGGCGTAGTAGTTATTCGGCTAGCCGGCGTAGGGAATTCGTCACTTTCAAGCACTCCGCTATTCCGCCAGAATCTGTAACATGAAAAAAGGCTCGGTAGCTCAAAAATTTCGGCCCGGAGGTGTGTGTATGTATGTATGTATATATACATATATATATATATATTTATTTATTTTTTTGAGCCCAATTCCTAGGGTCAAGCAGAATGTATGATATCCTGCTCGTTGCGAGAAATTTCACCAGCATTTAAGCAGTAGTTTAGATTGTAGAGTAAATTCATACTGAACCTCTGATTTCTTCTTGAGATCACCAAACCCAAAGTCCGAACATCAGCAGAAAAGGATCCAAGACTAACCTGTTAGCTCCAAGCCTGAAATCCTACAGCTGAACCCCCCAAGAATTTGAGCAACACGGACTTGTTTACTGCCGGGCCTTTGCACGGTAGCAGTAGCAGACATTTGGGGGCTTAGGGTTGCGGGCTTCGGGGCTTTGGGGTCCAGGGGCCTGGCAGTTTACGGCTAGGGCTACACAGCGAGTCTTGGGGCAAAGCGTTCGTGCTGTCTGGCCGTCAGCAGCAGTGGAGTGCGGGTCAGGACACCTGCATTTGGAGGCCGAAGCTTTGCCCGCTTTAGGGTTGGAGGCATGGATTCGTAATCCCGTGTGGAACCCCTCCAACTGAAAAGCTGAGACGTACTGGTAATGCTCGGGAATGAATACGCCTGAAACTTAAGGTCTGCAAGTTTTGAGGTTTTTGCAAACTCGAACCACCCCGAAGTGACCCCCTTGACCTTGGCTCGGAAGAATTGGGAGGACTTGGGTTGGCTTGGGGTCGTAGGTTTTTGGGGGACTCAAAACCGGCACTGACGGCCGTAGCGATGTGATTCAATTTCGCATCGGCATTCCTGCAACTCCCAAACGCAACAAAGCTCAAGCCCACTCTCCGAAAAGCAACAACTGTTGCTGTCCGCTGGAGAAAAGGGTGGGGATGCAAGGACTGCCGCAACCAAGACACAGGATCCTCCTACTACTGCTACGATCGCTCTGCTGACCCCCTACCAACCCTGAACCCTAAACCTAACACTCGAACCCTGAAACTCAATCTAAACCTAAGGCTCAAACCCTAAACCCTATAAATTCCTAGCACTCACATCCTGACCCTAAACCCTAAATGGGATCTTATGTTTGCGGCGACGATACTTGTAAGTCTATAAGTCCCCCCAACCCCCCAATTTGCCCCTCCCGGAGTGTCATGGCGGCTGGCCTGATAAATACTTCTCCGTTTCTGATTCTGTGCCGGCTAAACAACGAAGCACCCCAAACCCTAAACCCTAAAACCCTAAAAACCCTAAACCTTGACCGCAGCTGCCCCGTGCCTGGCTCAGTTTGCCTTTTTGGAGGGGTCGGCTGGCGGCCAGTACCTGGATAGCTGTGGGTTTCGGATTACTGTAGGGTTTAGGGTTTAGGGCACAAGTTTGTGTTGAAAGGGCCCTGCTAAGGCAGAAGGGTTCCTTGAAGGCGTAAGGTTTGGGGTTCAGGGCTGTAGCCACTCTTCTGCGGTAGAGTCCGGAAGGGTCCACTCTTGTCTCGCTTGTTTTAAACGGGCTTTCGGTCAGGGCTTCAGGTCTTGCTGAACAGGAGATTTGCTGTTCAGGGTGAGGGTGCATGTTAACATAGAGGCTCGAATAATTGGACTAGGGTTTTGGTACTTTCCAGACGATCAGCAGATCGGGGAACCCATAGGAGATCACCCTACATGATTCGTAAAACTCGAAGCGCAAAAACCTTGCAATCCCCCAGCACCATGAACACCACCATGCCTAGTATCGCATCCTATTCATCGAGGCCTTATGCTACCCGAAAACCCTTGTAAGCCATGACCTGAACCCCCAGCACCTCAACCCCACACACCGAACCCCACTAAACCCCCGAATCTTAGCTCTAAACCCTAAACCCCACACCCCGAACCCCCAGATCCAAAATCCCACGCCCTAATTAACCCCAAAATCCCAAACCTTATTAAACCCCTAAACCTCTGAACCCCACACCCTGAACTCTAAACCCCTAAACCCTAAACAAAAAACTTCCCTAGTTTCGAGGCCCGAGAAACTTCTGCGCCGCGTTCATCAGCCGCTTCAGTGCCTGGCAAAGTCTTGGGGGACTTATTTGGGGTTTCACTCAGGGTTTGGGGTTATATGTAGGGTTTGGGTTTAGGGGCTAGGGTTTACGGGTTCATGTAGGGTTTAGGGGTTAGGGTTTTTGGGTTTGGGCTTATCTGTAGGGTTTGGGCTTAGGGGCTAGGCTTATGTAGGGGTTAGGGCTTAGGGCTTTAGGGTTTGGGCTTAGGTAGGGTTTGGGCTTCGGGTGCCGGGTAGGGTTTGGTTTATGTAGGGTTTGTGTTCAGGGTCTAGTGTTTGGCTTGATGTAGGGTTTGGGGTTCATCATTAGGATTTCGGGTTCCTGTAGTGCTTACTTGCATTCAGGGCTTGGGCTTGTGCCGTTTGGGCACAGGGTTTTGGGTTTGGGATCTATTTTGTTGTTTATCTTGTTGCTGTAAGGTCTGGGGTTTAGGGTCCGGTAGGGCTGGGAGTTGGCGTTCACGATCTTTTCGTATGCTCGGAAGCACCGAACCTGCCCAACCCATTCCTGCCCTCGAATCCATGCGGCAACCCCGTAAGGGTTTAGTGTTTGGGTAGTTCTCTAAATTAGGGTCCCTTTTAGGGTCCGTTTTAGAAGGGTGCCGTACTATATTGGGGACCTAAACAGGGACCCTAATTTAGAGAACTACCCGCTTAGAGGCTACTAAACCCTGACTCATGAAGGGTCTATCGGTCGACCTACCAACCTAGCACATGCTGTCAGGACCACAAAACCCCGAAGTACCCAAAACCCCACCGCAAACCTTAAAGTGCCCAAAACCCAAACCCAAAACCCTGAAGTATCCCAAACCCACAGCCCTAAAGCCAAAGCCTCAAATAGTGCCGACTTGCCGATTGTGTATCTACAGTGCAGGGCTCGAGGCATAAATCAAAAGCGGAGCCTTTCTTGGGCGGTTCAGCAGTCTCTAATGTAATTAGATTGTCGCACCTGCACGAACTTGCGAGTAACCTCGTCATTGAGAGCGTAGGCCACGTCCTGCGCAAATGGCTAGGGCTTGGGGTTTAGGGTTCATCGGGTCGAAGGTTTCCTTTACATGCAAAGTCGAAGGACTCTCACATAAGCCCAAGAACCCACTACCGAGTACATTCGCCCCAGTGAAGCGTCACCACCTGCCAAGAATGTTTGCAACTAGACTCACGGTCTTCGAGCGTTGGAAAACTAACCCAGAGCCCAAACCTCTAAACCCTGGGTATGCTCGGCGTGCCAATTGTCCTCCGCATCTGTCAACACTCTGGCTTTGAATGCAGCAGAAGTTCTGCCTGAACCAAAAACCACCGACCCGAAATCCCAAAGATCTACGACCAAGGCATAGAAGCAGGGCCACATCTCTGTCAGATGACAGGGCTGCAGATCTGCAGCCAAGGCTACTCCTTGTCGGACATCAGACGTGAGTCCGGCACATGAGGCCAGTCTCGTCTTATTTGCAGAAACAAGGAATACTATTATACCAAAGAGTGTAAAGTGTACTCCTTCAGCTACGAACCTATACTTACTATTGCTAGCGCTCTGTAAGCCGTTTCAGAGGGCTCCAACTAAAGGGACCTGGGCCGGGTTGGGGGTGGGGTCGGCAAGTGACTTGGGAGATATGTTATTGTTACACCTATCTTGAGAGCTGGAAGGAATACTACGACTGATGGACAAAATCCTGCATGACCTCATATAACTAAACTATGGGAATATGGTACTATAGTCTACTTGGGTCATGCAGAATTTTGTCCATCAACAGTGCCACTGACTATTCAGGCTTTGATATTTCCCAGTCCTTGACTTGCGCATTCCGGTTGAACCGGTCGTGCAGGCCGATGGCATCCTCTCACGTGGAACTGGGCTTCGGGATAGTATTAGGGGCCGAAATAATTACTAATACTATTTTCTTTGGTTCCTTAGCACAATATACCCCAAAACCTTAATTATATAAAGCACAATATACACCAAAACCTTATTATATAGTACAATATAGCCCAAAACCTTATTATATTAAGCCTTCGCCTACTTTCATAGAGGCCTCTTGGTTTTCCGTGGAGGGTGCTGAGGGTTCTAACAATAAAGGGTGGTTGGGGGATGTTGGTTTGGTCCTAGGTTTGGAGTTTAGGCAACCCTAAGCCCTAAACCATAAACTCTCAAGCCAATGACAAATAGAAGTTGTGTGTTGAGCGGCTTGGCTGGCAGAGTCATGAGCACTTCAATTCATGGAACAACATTGCTTTAAAAAACCTTGAATCGCAAGGAGTGTTCCCCTCTCATCTTTTCTTCCGATGACGCTCAACAGTCATAATTAATGGTACCAACCAGGGTTATAAGCAGGGTACATGGAATAATCTAAATGCAAGTACTTGTAGCGCTTGTCAGATCTCTGTCTCCTCTCAGCCTGCTGTAAGTTTAAAGTTTGACGCGGCTTTTGACGGGCACAAACAAGCCTGGACCTTGAACCCCAAGCAGTTGAGGCACCCGAACTGGACGTCCCCTGGGGTCGATTCTCAAAACTCGGATTTCTGAGACTGCACAGTGTCATTAGGATCCTATGACTATGAGTAGGCCTTAGACCCTAAACCCTAAAACCCTAAAACCCTAAAATCCTCAACCCCTAAACCCTAGACCCTGAAGCCCGAGCCCGAATTCCCAAAGCACTAAACTCCTTAACCCAAGCAGGGCCTCCATGAGCATGGAACCGCCACAGCCGATTCCCACTGGCCACGCGGCCTCGCAGATGCAGACGCTAGCAGGGATGTGGGGTAGTTCTCTTAATTCGGGTCCCTTTTTAGGTCCCCGATATAGTACGGCACCCTTATAAAAAGGACCCTAAAAGGGACCCTAATTTAGAGAACCACCCATGTAGGGTTTCAGCCAATCCGTCTGGCAAGCAGCGAGTGAGTGAGTGAGATGGTGAGTGAGCGACTTAGTGAGTGCATTCTCGTGAGTGCGTGCGCGCGTGTGTGTGTGTGTGTGTCTGTGTGTCTGTGCAGGTAGGTTAGGTTAGGTTAGGTTAGGTTAGGTTAGGTTAGGTTAGGGTAGGGTAGGGTAGGGTAGGGTAGGGTAGGTTAGGTTAGGTAGGTAGGTAGGCAGGTAGGTAGGCAGGCCAAATGGATACGCGCAGCAGTCGGATCTCATAGAGTAGAGGTCAATAAATCAAAACGTGGATCAGGGGTGAGAAATGTTGAGATTCCTGTACCTCGAGGGTATGAGGATAATGTTCGAGGTTCCATACTTTTTTGGGGGGTTCTGATTTCTAGATCTTTTAGGGTGGTGTGGGCTAGGACCCCTGGCGCATGCGAATCTCCCGGGTTGAGGTTTAATTTGGGGGCTTGCTGAGAGCCCAAGTAAAGCCCAAGGCGAACGAATGCTACACACTTACACCCTAAACCCTAAACCCTGAGTACCCTGAACACTAAACCCTCGACCCTAAATACTCTAAACCCTACACCCTAAACCCTCCTCAAATACCGAACCTTACCGAGCCCTCAACCCCAAAGCCCATTTCCCATGTTCGGGCCGCGGCCTTACCAATCGTCAAGTCCAGGTATGCTTCGGCCGCCTCACGATACCTTGCAGGTATTGGGAGCTTCGGGGGAAAACAGGGGTCCTAGCCCACACCACCCTAAAAGATCTAGAAATCAGAACCCCCCAAAAAAGTATGGAACCTCGAACATTATCCTCATACCCTCGAGGTACAGGAATCTCAACATTTCTCACCCCTGATCCACGTTTTGATTTATTGACCTCTACTCTATGAGATCCGGTTGGGCCAAAACCCCCAAAACCCGAAACCCGAAAAACTAAACCCTTAACCTAACCTTAGACCCCATTTTGGGGCTTGGGAGCTCGTGATTCGGCCTCTCTTGAAGGGTGCCGACTGGCTCTGCCAGAGCATTAGGGCAGGGGAGCAGGGTTTCTTTTGGGGCTCAGGCTTCTTCAAGGGACTAAAGGAGAGACCCTTAAAGGGAGGGGCTGTATGGGACTATATAAGGGGTATATAGGGTATTGGGATTAGGGGTTCCTCCCATTGTCCCTTAACTTCTGGGTTAAGAGGTAACACAGCGAAACCCTGAAACCTTGCCCAACTAACCCAAACTTGATCCCCTAAGCGCGAGAACGCCATCGGCGCTTAAGATCTGCGTCTTGTAGGGCAGGCTTGAGGCAGAGGCAGTTCGCGAAGTCTGTGCCACGATTAAATCCCAAACCTACACCCTACACCCTCGAACCATCAATCAAGCCCCGTTTGCAAATAGAAGCATAGAAATGGGGATTCCGGGGGTCTCTACTACAAGGAGACTAGGCCCAATAACACTGATCATTCAGACCCCTACGTTCCTCACAGGCCCTATAAACGCCTTTAAAGACCCCTTCTGTAACTCTGCAAAACCGTAACCCCTAAACGTAACCCCCTAACCCTGAACCCTAAACCCTAAACCCTCTCTCTTGGGCCCCCGCTCACGGTCGTCGGCTTTCTTCACGATGTTGTAGATCTTGTCAAGAAGCCACTCCTTGACCATGTTCCGCCGGTAGCAAAGACAAAATGGCATTTCAGTATGTGGACCTTCAATTGTTTTCGGGCTTGGCGGTTGGGAATATGGTAGGGTGTTAGGGGTTTAGGGTTTTGGTGCGTTTAGGGTTTGAGTGTCGAGGGTTTGAGGCTTTAAAGGACTTTATAGGGTTTCGAGCTGGTCTTAAAATGCCTTATGTGTTGTAGCTGCGAACTTTATGCCGTTGAGAATTTGGAGCAAGCTTGGGCCCGACCCCGTTCCAGTCCTCCATGCGATACATTCGCAGGCGTTTTTGGAGAGGCCGCACATCTCGGCGTACTTGGCGATGCGCAGCGACTGCCTGCAAACACCCAGAGAGCCCAATACCGCTTAAATAAGGAATATACTTTAATTTATAGGGGCCTTAGTATTATGATTTAAGGTATATTCCTCAATTAAGGGGTATTGGGCTCTCTGGGCATACTAAATGCTACACCCGCAAAAAGCTGCCATGAATACCACATTCAAGCACCCCACGCAATAGATGCTACACATCGATCTCGACCATTGATGCAATCTAATACGCGAGGTCAGCCATGTCCATCCTCTGCGAGATATTCGACCCAACTGAATTTACACAGAGAGCCCAGTGCTCCTTATGTCAGGAAAATACCCTAAATCATAAACAGAAAGCCCGGTGTAAGCCGGGCCATTTTGCTCTCGGAATCTCTCCTTCACTGCATGGTTTAGATGGGGTTTCGAAGCCTTGCGGTGGCCATAAAGAGATCTTCTTTTGAATTTTCAGACCCTCCACACGATGGGGCCCGGCCGTCTTGGTGGAGGGCTTCTTCTTTTCCTCATCGGGCAGGTCTGCCAGCTCCTCGCGAATATCGTCTCCGGGTTATGACATACTCACAGGTTTAATGATTTAAGTTTTCTCTACGTAAGTTAATGCATTCGGAATATGCAAACATATACGTAAGACTCTACATGTGTATACATATATACACACATGTGTATATATATATATACACACATACAGATATATAACACACATACATACATACGTACATACATACATACATACATACATACATACATACGTACGTAACCGTACCTACCTAAGTACCAAGTCCCATGAACCTTTAAGTACTCATGCATTCTGGAAAACAAACATGGGCCTGCAAAAGAACAGAAACACAGTCCATGACAGACTCTCCCATTCTAGCCAGCCTGCATTGTGCCACGACATGTCATATCCAGTGCGACCCTGCGTCTTCAAGATTGGCTGGCATGTCAGAAGGACAGTCAAGGATGTAAGGTATGATCTATAATCATACACTCCGCTTGCTGCGAAGGAAAATATGACATATGAATATTCACCAGCCTCCCAAAAACTTTTAGGAACCATCTTAGAACCCATGCAGAACCAACCCTCATAGAACCCCCATAGAACTCCTATAGAACCCCCCCTTTAGAGCCCCTACAGAAACCCCCCGTGGCGAAGATGTCGACACGGTCCTTCTCCCAGGCCTTTAGCGACTTTCGAACCTTTCGGCATGGGGCGGGCTTTAGGGTGTAAGTGTGCAGGGCTTCGGGGCGTTGGGCTTAGATGTGTCGTGGGTTTAAGGCTTTTGGAAGTTTTTGGTCGTAGATATGTTGTGGATTTCAGGCGTTCGAAGGGTTTTGGGTCGTAGTTTGATCGGGGTTCCAATCGCACTTTGAGACTCTGGGTTCGCTTCGGGAGGTTCAGGGTTGAGTTTAGGGGTGCAAAGGTATGAATTATCCGGAACATGATTGTATGTCATACTACACCCTGCGTATGCTAGCCTATGGAACGTGAAATCGGGCCACACAGCTTGTGGATAAGAACATGAATTGCTGAAGGAACTGTATGAATAGTGCACGGTTTGATCCATCAGCACCACCCTAAACCCTAAAACCTAGTCCTCTTTCTTCCAGTTTCGGTGGCAAGGGCAGCTAGAGAAACAGACAGGACTTCCGGTCCAAAGCGGATGCAGCAGGTTGATATATATATATATATACACATATATATATACACACATATAGAACGCTTACAATAAGGAGTCCGACGGAAGATTGTAATTCTGCCGGCTCCTATATCAGGTTTCACGCGAGTTCGGGCCCGCAAGTCCATGACCCCAACAATAAGCTCAAAGCCTCACAGCCAACGTGCAAGAGAATCCGGAGCACAAAGGCCGAAACCTTGAATCCTAGTTAAGGGTTTGGGGCAGGATGGCAAGAACACCTCAAAACCGCATGGCAAATCTGTGCAGTCCCCACGACAAACCCTACAATGGCTTAAACCCTAAACCTAAACCCCGAAACTCTAAACCCTAAACCGCGCCAGCAACCCCGACACTCGCCACCGATGAAGACGCTGAGAACCCGGGTGCATTCCTGCAGGGCCTCATTAAAAAAAAGACACAAAAAAAAAACCTTCTGAACCCCTAGGTCTAGGGGTTTAGGGTTTAGGGAATGCAAAACACATAAAGTTCATGAAGCCCCATTTCCAGACAAACTTTGCATACCGCCTTACGAAAATCCTACAACGTGCCACAACTCAACCATCGCTGTGTGGACATAATCTTGATGGACACAACTATAACACTCATTGCGTGTTACAGTCAGATATAGTAGTAATATTCTCATGAACAGCATGGTTGTTCTCATTATATTCATGCACACGCACACAAACTCTGAGGGGAAAGCCCAGCTGCGGATCATGTCGCACTGATCCATTGTGCCGAGGTCGACCTTACTATAGGTTTATCCAAGGATTTCTGTGGAGCTTGCGAGTTTGGGCTTTTGGATTTTTCCTGGAGGTTTCGCTTGTCGTCTTAAGGCCGTAGGCCCAGACCCCCGAAAAGATCCAAAAAGTAGATCCCTTAATCAGGGCTCCTGTAAAGAGCCTTCGGTAGTATAGGGTCCCAAATTTCCTGTCCTTCCGGGAGTCTGGGGGTAAAGAAACCCTGGCCCTAGAAGCCCAAAATTGTAGGAATCGTATACAGAATCCTAATAAAGGCCCAGGGTTTCTTAATCAGGTTCATCTATTAGGCGGTAATATACGGGTCTTCATAATTAGAACAGGGTTTTGGGTTATATTAAGTTATATTGTACTACAATTCTAAAAAGGAGCCCTCAAAATAATATTTGTAACTATTTCGGCCCCTATATGATAGAGATTAAGTCGCAGGTTTTGGGCTTCGGGTTGACGCTTACGTTTTCTGTTGCTATCTGATCTTGAGTGCGGTTGCTAGGGTTTAGGGTTTAAGGTTTGACTCCTGGCAGCAAAACGTCAATCCAACCAAACGCGAAGCACGAGAACCGCTCAAGGGATCGGACTACAGAAACCGACCAGTAGTATCCCTTCACGCATACGCGTAGAAAGCAACTCTGCCTCTCTCCAGGGCTTCGAGGAGCCTGCCCGTTGCCTACTACTTATGTATACGTCGCGACAGAGGCATGACACGCGTGGAGAAGCAGCCTCCATGTCTTGAGCCACTGCACAACAAGCTATGACACAGGCAAGTCTCAGGAACAGCCTCACTGTTGGCCTCGCTCTCCTCCAACTCCCCGGTCAGGATCTGCAGGGCCGCCACGCACTGGAGGCCGTTGTCTGGGCGGCGCTTCCCATCACACAAGCACGCGGCGCTGTCGATGAGGCTTGGGGGAGCGAACGTATTCTGCCCGTAGGCTCCACTTTTGAAGTCCGCCACCAGCTCTGAAACTCGCCCCGAGTCCAGCGGCCTCCAGCCGGACTCCTTGGAAACGCTCACCTCGTTGACGGCAAGCAGCTCGCTTCTCAAGAACTTGGGGCCCTTGCTGCCCACATTCGTTTTCGAGGCTTCGAAATCAACCTCGACCACATATTGCTCTCACTGACGTTGCACTTTGAAAGCATCTCCAAGGTCTCCTTCATCTGCCGAGACTGATCTGCACCTTGCATCACTGCTCTAGCCAGCATGTCAACCACCATCTCCACTTGCTGCTGTTGCTGGACTGTCGGACTTGTAGGGGGAACCTGATGGGGTTTAGGCTTTCAGGTTTAGGGTATGTGCAGTGTTACGTGTTTCCTGGAGGCATATCATATCCGTCGGTGTCCGAGGTAGAACCACGACAGACATCAAACTGTGCCTAAGTGGATTTTAAGCTCAACCTCCTCAGTCAGCATTAACTGTTGACAACCCGATAGTTGCTAGGCCTGAACATTTCACCTCTAACGCTGAACCTGAAAACCTTATTGCCTGCGACCTCTCGTGCAACATTCAAGATATCAACTTCCGAACCTACACGGCAAGCCAGCGGAACCGAGAAAACTAACCATCATCGAAATTTAATTGTGCCGAGATCCACACTTTTAAGGTTAAGTTCGTACATTCTGGGCCTCCCCTGGCTGCCGCATGGCGACTGCATAATCGTTGCAACAAGACCAGAACTTTAAAAGACCACCGCACTCCTCAAATCTTAAGGGACACATCAAGCTCAGAAGATGAACATCTGGATAACAAGCATCTGGAGTTCTTGTCCTATTTATGGAGGTGTAGGGTACAGGGCTTAAGGGCTTCGGAGTCGCGGTTTTAGATTTGCGGGCGTTGACGGAAGCCAGTATAGAACCCTGATAAGCCCCCCAAGAAGCCCTTAATGCCATCTAGGCCCCACGATAGGAGGCCTTATAATCGCCCATTACTGCTCCCTAAACCCTAAACCCTACCCGTTTGGTCCCACCCCCCTGCTCCTCCCACCTCGGGGACTTCCACGGCCTCTTCTTTTGGCTTCTCCTTCGGCGCCTCTACAGCAGGATGGGCCGAGCGTGATAAGATCTACCTTAAGCTACCATGACCAGCTGTTTTGTCATACTATAAACCTGTATAGGGGGCCCTGCAAAAGGAGTACGTCTTGGCAAGTCATGCTTATATAGTATCGAGGGCCGGGATTTAGTAAGTAGTCACCTCATGGAGTTATACATGTAATGACCCCAGTATAGCTGCACACTATCGTTAGTAGGATGGCTGTGGAATTCCGAAACTCAGCGGATCCGTCCGTAGAGCCGGCATGGGACGGAAGGAAAGAAGGAAGGAAGGAACCGACGGAGGGAAGGACGTCCGATTTGCTCGCATCTTTCATCATATCTGTTTTGCTGTGATCCCTGTCATCATTGTTCCATCTATTGGATTCTACTGCGTCTCCGTTCTGCGAGGTGCCGGTACAAACTTCAAAGCGCAAGGCATTTGCAAGGTTAACCCGTTAAAGTGAACATTGAAGCATATCCTCAAGCTCCAACTGGTGTACCACAAGCCTTTCACTCCGATATGGCCAAGCCTGCCAATCCTAACTCCTAAATTCCCATCCCCAAACCCTAACACGCTAAAACCTAAAACCCCCCAAATGTCCTTAGAGGACATAGCCAGTCCCTCAAACCTTAGAAACCCTAGACCCTAAACTCCAAACCCTTTAGAGCCCTCTACCCTAAATCCCCTATACCCCTAAACCCCTAAACTCCTAAACCCCTCAACCTCTGAACCCTAAACCCCTAAACTCAACCCCTAAACTCCTAAACTCCTTTACCCCTAAACCCTCACCCTAAACCCTAAACCCTCAACTCCTACTCAACCCCTAAACTCCTAAACTCCTCAACCCCTAAACCCTAAACCCTCAACCCCTACTCAACCCCTAAACTCCTATACCCCTATATACCCCTAAACCCTTGCCTCTCCACCCTAAACCCTAAACCCTAACTCCATTGCCTCTCCACCCTCGCCTTCTTTCTTAGCCGCGCCGTCCTCAAACTCTGGCGGTTAAGGGTTAGGGTTTAGGGTTCAGAATTAGGTGGTTTAGGGTTTAGGGTCTAGGGTTCGGAATTAGGTGGTTTAGGGTTTAGGGTTCGGAATTAGGTGGCTTAGGGTTCCGGGTCTAGGGTTCGGAATTAGGTGGTTTAGGGTTTAGGGTTTAGGGTTCAGAATTAGGTGGCTTAGGCTTTAGGGTTTAGGGTTCGGAAGTAGGTGGTTTAGGGTTTAGGGTTTAGTCTGCAGGGTTTGATGGGGTGTAGGGATACCGATCATTTAAAATCTGGTTTGCTTGGGGGCTGACGGTCTACTTGGAGGGTCGGCGGACTTTAGTAAGTAGGCAATAAGTAGACGTATAAGTACCTTACAAGGGATTCTAATTGGGGTTATGGTACTTACAAGTCTAGAAAATAGCTACTTACTATGTCCACCGACCCTCCAAGCAGGGTTAGAGAAGCTGAGTTTTTGTTGCTTGACGGTCCTTTGGAATTGTATTGGTAAGTCCTCAGGCTTCTACCGTGACCAGCCAGCATTGATACTCCAGCCGGTTTAGGGTTTAGGGTTTAGCTTTTTTATGTTTTAGGGCCTTTTGGTGACTGCACGAGCTCGCAGGGTTTAGGGTTTAGGGGATTCATTGCAAGTCAGCGGAAAGCGCGGTGAAGAGGGAACCGGTCACTGCCAATAGTACCAACGCAATCACACCCGGAAACAACATCCACACGTTCACACCTTTTCCAAGCCCGATGCCCTGTTGCTGAGTCGTGACGACCAAGTGGACACAACTAACTACGGCTTCAGCATTGGTTTATGCTTGAAGGCACCTTGACGACCAGACTTTCGGACTCACCCCTAAACCCTAAACCCTAAACCCGACCTAGACCCACCAGTCACCCTCCATCCTATGCCAGATCAATTAAGGAGGACCAAAAGGGGCTTTAGCAAGAGGGTGCTTACTTGGGGGGGTCCTAGCAAAACCTGAGCCCATGTATTAAAACATTGGTTCAATCAAACATGTACAGAGGATCCGGGGTTCAGGGTCTGTCAGGGTCTATGGTGTTGGAATTTACTTGGAGGGTCGGGGGACTTAGTAAGTAGATACTTCATAGACTTATAAGTATCATAACCCCACCTAGGACCCTTTTAGGGTTATAAAGTCTACCTATTACCCACTTACTAAGTCCTCCGACCCTCCAAGAAGTGTTTAGTGTCATGCTTGGGGTTTGGGGCAACGTGGGTCACGTGTCTGGGGTCGGTCGCTGTTTAGAAGAAGGTTTTACATTAGGTAGCTACCCAGAGAACCCAATACCCCTTAATTAAGGAATATACCTTAAAGGGGCCTTACTATTTTGATTTGGGCGGTAGCAGCCAAAATGTCTTCTCGCCACGCCCGCTCGCCCCTGCGCAGGATTTCTGACCTGCGGCCACACGTGCACCCAAATCCTGCTTCGCGGAGAACTGCGCCAGACTTCAAGATCCCAGTGCAAAAACCGGCCGGTTGTAAGGGACATCTCGTACGTAAAGACGATAGGTGCACTTTGAGCCCTGAAGTTGGACAAGGCATCTTCGTCCATAAGTCCAATAATTTCGCCAGCCCTTCCGCCATGGTACCAGCCTAGCCAACGGATGTCCCGCGCTGGGTCCGTTCGGCTAACGGTGTGAAAAGTACACACATGGGTGTCTCGCTGCGAGCAGTTGCCTCATGTATAGTCGGAAACCCAATAAGATTGAAGGTATATTCCGTACTCCAGGGGTTTGGGAGTATCTGGGTAGTCTGGGAGCGACCTGGCTTCTGGGGTTGAATAGGGGTATGCTGTGGAGGTATGCTTTTTTGTAAAGAGCTTCTTAAGTGGGTTTAGAGTCTATAGGGCTTCAACATAGGCACCTACGCAAGTGGACTAGAGTGTGCACGTAGAAGTATTCGAGGTAAGCAGCAAATGCTTTTTGGAGATTCCTGGAAAAGAAACCCATAACCCGAAGGAACTAGCTAAAACAGCACGAGCAGTACAGCACAGGATCCTTCTCGTCGCCAGTGAGATCATCCTCTCAAAGGAAATGGCCGAAGGCTTAGTTGGGGATAAAACTTAAATAGTATATGCTATGGGTTTAGGGCTTAGGGTTTAGGTTTCTGTGTAGCTCAACCATTACCTGCCTTGTACCGGCCTCGTTGCAGATTCCTGGACTGTGTAATGATGCAGGAGATTGCATAGATCGCATCTGTCTCGTCCTCAAACTTCCCTAATGCCTACAAACCCTTATTGTTATTGTTATTATCACTAGTACTAACATTATTACTATCATTATTATATGATTATTACTCACTATTATTGCTAACTATCTTTATTGCAATTACTATTGCTACTAGTTCTGTTCTTATTTCTACTACCAGAAAGCCTGTATATGCCCGAAGCCCTAGTCGTGGCGAGGTCGGAAAATTGCGGGATCGTGGGCAAAAAAGTTAAACATGGGGCCAAGCTGTTTTTGTGTTTCGTACTAGTGCGAAGCTGTGCGAAGCTGCTGGGAATGTTAGCCACTTCACGGCGACTCTGCATGTCAGCAAGCCGCCAGGGCCTGTAGGGGGTCTGGCTCTGAGAGAAGCCGGCTTTCCCAGAGACTCCAATATGCCTTAATTAAGGAATATACCTTAAATCCTCTTAGGGTTCCGAATATAATTGAAGGTATATTCCTTAATTAAGGGATAATGGAGTCTCTGGGTTGTTCCCCCGACCTTCTACGTCAGCTGCCCTTCTCCAGCCGCGCGCCACTCCACCGAACCGCAACGCGCCGGCACACCCTCCAAGCTGCTGGTTAGGGTTTAGGGCTTTGGGTTTAGGGTTGAGGGTTTTCGACTTTGGCATCATTCGTTTCAGGCTTCTCCGCAGGCTTCCTTTCTCCGATTTTGGCGCTGGCTCCCTGTCAAACCTCGCAGATCCATCGCCAGCTCGGACTGATATGCAGGAAGGTCCTTGCTCGCTCGCATCTTTCAAGACGGAGTAGCAGTCTGCTTGCAGCCACTCTGCACTTGCAGCCACTCCACGCCTGGCACCTCCCTGCACTCTGCGAAACGCAGCATGTGCAGCACGTGCTTCAGCGACAGGCCTTGTGTCCCACCCATTGCTCGGTCACCCCAAGCGGACAGATGCGCCCAGCTCTGACGCCAAGCCCTGAACCCGACGCCCTAGACTTAAGACCCTACGCCTGGGATGCTAGCTTTTCAGCAAGGAAATCACAATAAGGAGCCCCAAAGCCGCTAGGTTCTTTCGGGTCAGGTACTGCTACGTCGGCATCGGGCCGAACTTGCTCTGATTTGATGAGCAGTCTTTTTCTCGGTTCCGGGACATGCAGAGCCAGTGGGCAGAAAGGAAGGGGTTTAGGGTTTATGCGTTTTTTCACGGGGGTTAAGCGTACCAACTTGGAACAACGGCCTTGCACAGAAAGAGTCAAATTGCTTAGAGACATAGGTTTTAGAGTTTAGGGCTGAGTACGGTAGTCTACAGGATCGTACAAAGAAAACAGCTCCTAGGATCGCTACTATCAGAGTCCCCCAAACTCAGGACGGCCTATGTCAGTTATGTCCATATTAATCTAGAGGCCGTAATTGTTCGAACGGGGATAAAACACTACAGTTGTGCTAGCGACGCCGAAGGAAAACATTGCAAAAAACGCCAGGTGTGATTCTCGCGGCCTGTCCGCTCTCCTTCTCACTGTCTTTCTCGCTGTCCTTCTCCTGCATCAGCCGGACCGAAACAAGAACCAAGGGTCCCAAATCCTAACCCTAAACCCTAAACCAAGGATCCCGAAACCTAACGGTCCCTAAACCCAAAGCCCTATGGGTCCATGAACAAAATCCTTGAAACTTCGACGGCTCAAGGTCTGTACTCGGAGCTGTGGGGCTTAGGATTCATAGTGAGGGTCTACCTGTAGTTTAGGTTTAGGCCCTAAACCCTAAACCAAAAATCCTAAACTCGAAACCTTTAGGGTTCAGGGGCGGTTTAGGGTTTAGGCCCTAAGCCCTAAACCTTTAGGGTTCAGGGGCGGAAGAAATGCAGCTCAGCAAGTTCCTCGCTTTCCATGGTTTCGAGCTCTGTAGCCAAAGGGGGAAAAGGCTTCCCGGAGGCTCTCCTTACCTTCAAGGGCCGGATTCCCTTAAAGGGGACTTTTTAAAGGAATCTACAGGAGACCTGTTAAGGGGATCTTTAGGGTTCCCCATATTTTTGGGGTTGAGGGGGGGAATGCAGAGACTTGAACTCAAAAGTCTTCCCTCCACAGACCCCTGCTGGAGCATGCCCTGCGAAGATGTCGGCTGCTTTGATTTGCTGACTTTCCTCATCAGGCTTTGCCAGCTCCGGCTGTTGTCTAGATCCGTCTTAGGGTCTGATTGTTCCAGGCATGCTTTAGAATCGCTTGTGCGCCGCTAGCAGCTCCTGTCATAGGTTTGCTGGAACCTCAAAGACTCTACCTTTGTGCAGAACTGTATACCATCTCCGGTTGCGCACGTGCCGGGGCAAGCTCGAGGAGAAAGCACGACCTCCTCGCAGTCTGCACAGTCCCAGTACTCGTATTCGTCGTCGGAGTCCTGGTCCAAATCGATCCAGCAAATTTTTGTTTTGGGATCCGGCCGCGGCATCCGCAGGCGCGTGCTCCTCGTAGGCAGAAAGGTGTGGTTTGATTTCTGGGCCGCCATGTCTACAGCCAGCGACTGGCATCAAACTCTTGCCACACATTATGCGAACTGTATACACAAGGAAATCACAGTAAGGCATCCTGCAAGTGTGCGCTGTTGTCTAGAGTTTAGGGTTTAGGGGTTAGGGTTTAGGGTTTTTCCATCCAGGAAACGACTCCACTGCCACGATGCCTGAGCCCCATTCTTCTTGCAGGTGGGTGGGATCCCAAGAAACCCTCAAAACGCGAAAATCCTAAACCCTAAACCAAAAACCCCCCAAAACCCGAAAATCCTAAACCCCAAACCCAAAAACGCCGAACACCAAAACCCTGAAGCCTTGAAGCCTTGAGCCGTATAGGCCCTTAAGACCTGCGGCCATCCCAAACCGTAAACCCAAAATCCTCAAAACCCTAAACCTTGAACCACTCAGCCCTTAAACCCCTCAACCCCCAAAAAATCCTTAAACCCCAAACCCGGAAACCCTCAACCGCGAAACCTCTACAGCCCCGGAAACCCCCGAAACCCCCAAACCCTGAACCTCTAAACCCTGCACACCTAAACCCAAACCCCAACGCCTAATTAAACCCAAAACCCCCCAGCCCCTAAACCATCTGGGCGGCCTCCTCGCTTTCAGAAGCCTCACTCTTCTCATCTTCCTCCTCCCCCTCCTGGCACTTGCCCGAAACCCCTCCAAACAAACAATCTAAAGGCCTAAACGGTTGAGGTTTAGGGTTTAGGGCTCCGGGCTTAGGCTTTAGGGGTTTAGGGGTTTTGCGTTTGGGGTTTCAATCGGGGAACCTCTACAGGGGCGCAAAGGCTCTTGGCGGGTTAAAGCCCATTCCTGGCTTCGCTTATTTCCTGATTTTCTGACTGATTCTCTGGGGTTACTTGTTCTGCTGTTCTGTTGTAACAGTTCTTGTTCAGGCCAGTCAGGATTTCGGGTTTAGGGTCTTGTTTGTTAATGTCTGTGGCAATGTTCCATAGCATGTTCTAACGATACTAGTGCATATGCCTCATGCCAGCCTCATCTTTCAGCAAACTGCCAGCGATGGTGGTAGCACTGATCATCATAAACCCAAAAGCAGCGTGTCTGTTGGTTAACTCTTTTCATAGGCAAGATGCCCTGGCGCTTTCGCTTCAAGTTGTCATCGCAAACTCAATGCATTTGTCCAGGGTCTCGGCGGATCGTTCTTCCCTACAAATCCCATATTAGGGTTTATAATCAGAACCTGCAAAAAGTGGGTTGTGGTAGGTTAAGGTTCTTCAACTCCCCCGAAGACCCTCCAGGAGCCCAGCTACCTGTTCAGTGGGTCAATGTTCCTGAACCCCTGAACCCAAAACCCAGTAAGCTGCTAATATCGTGGCCTTAACAATTAGACTGATTTACTTTTGGGAGGGGGGGGTATGTTAGAGTCACTTAGCATAGCGTATCTAATCACGACATTATAATGGATTCTATGCAGGATTTCTGGAAATTTCTAAGGCCCCTGTATTACGCCAGTAGTTGGAGCCCGCGCTCTGCGCGGCCAGCACGTTTTTAGGGTACTTAACCCATAGCTTTTCCGTCGGGATTGCTACTTTGCCCGCTCATCCGGCTTCAGACTTCCAGGCTTCCTTTCTTCTTTTTCGGATATTCGGGTTTATCCATGCTTTCGGACTTTCCTTGCTTTCGGATTTCGGACTTTGATGTTCAGCATGTTTCGACTGGATCGGGGGGGTGGGAGGGGGGCAGATAATGACGTCCCTTGGCATCGACTCATGGTCGTTCCGGATCAGAACAGAGCCAGGGGCCATGGATTTCGAGCGTGGGCGAGCGTACTTGACGTTGCTTGTCGCGGCGCTTTTGCTGCTGCGCTTGGAAGGGGTTTCGCTGCCCACGTCTTTGAGCGGCTTCCTCTAGATGACATAAAGGAGGTCTTTGCTGTCACTTGCCAACCATGTTTGGTAAAGGCTTCCAAAAAAAGTGTTTAAGCATTTGCAAGTACATAGGGAGAACAGTCTCCAGCATGCAGATTCCGCCTCTTTCCTGTTGCCAGGCCCCAAAGTAGTTGTCAAAATCCGCACTCTTAAAACACTCTAGCTTTGTCAGGCCCGAACAGCCCGCAAATGACGATGCTTGTTGCTTCCTCATGGGCTTGTCGGCCGGTGGCCGCACCAGGCGCGTACGCCAAGTAGTTGGGCTCTTGGGGAACAGTGTTGGTCCAAAATTCATGCCATAACTTTCTGGACGGTCTTGACAACGACCTAAACCCTAAACTTCCTACTTCCTAAACCCTAAACCCTAAATAACTTCTGCTGCCCTTCAGTGTGGGGTTACAGGTTTAGGCTCGGGTTTAGGCGTGTGTCAGATCTTTGGCCCCTAAACCCTAAACCCTAAAACTTCAACCCCCAGAGCCCGAACCCAAAGCCTCGTAACCTTAAACCCTCAAAGCCCCAACCCTATACTTGTAAACCCAAACCCTACACACCTTAAACCCAAAACCCAAAACCCTAACCCAAAACAAAAAACCCAAAACCCAACACCCTAACCCTAAACCCAAAACCCAAACAAGACTTGGGGGACCTTGGGCTTAGGGTATCGGGTGGAGGTGCCAGGTTCACCTCGAACTCTATAAAGCCCGAAACGCTGGAACTGGCAAGGTTGAGAGTTGAGGAGTTTAGGGGTTTGGAGGTTCAGGGTTAGGAGTTTGGGGGTTTAGAGGTTTAGGGTTTGGGCTTTGGGGTTTCGGGTTTAGGGCTTAGGAGTTTAGGGGTTTAGGGGTTTGGGATCGTTCTACTCTGATGATGTTTCCGGCTGGCTTGCTCGGACTTCGTCAGTGTGTCTCGCTAGCACCTGTCATTTTTCTGGTTTGGTCTTTGGGGTTTGTGTGCTTTATGGCTGTTGGGGTTTCGGCTTAGGACCAGGGGCCAGTGGTGTCCTGCTTCTTCTCGCCCTCCTCTTCGTCCTCATCTTCATCGTCTTTGTCTTTCGTCTGGTCCTGCGCTCAGGTGCTTGCGAAACTTGGAGAATGCGGAACCTGATGAACCTCTGCAACACCAGAGGGCCCTAAACCCTAAACCCTAGGGTTTAGGTGAGCAATGAGCAACCAAGTATCAAGCCCACAAGCTCTGCAATTTTGGAAGGATTTTGCCAATGCCGTCGCAAATCAGACCGAGAGGTGCTCGGTAAAGACTGAGCGCCCAAACCCCTAAGTCGTGGCTCAAGGTCGGCCACACACATTCTGCAGCTTTACGGGACCCTCGGAGTTCAAATACCACCCCCCAAAAAAAGCAAGGGCTCTCCTTATGAGTGTCGGGGCTCTTTCAGGGAGGTTCCTAAACCCGAACCAGGCCCTGACCCCTAAACCTCAAACCTAGACCTAAACCCTACGGCTGATGATATAAATCCTGCATCACCCATTATAAGGAATATGCCATGATTCCCATAGTTTAGGGTCTTTAATTAAGGTAATGCAGGATTAATATCATCAACAGTACGTCCGTGAGCCTCCAAGTGTTGCATCGTCGCTATTGGTTCAAGCAAGGATGTAGTGCTTATAAGGTTTAGGGTGCTAGGGCTTGCTTTGGGATGCAACACTGAGTACTCCTGCCCGTCGGGGTATTAGAAACCAGGAATAAGGACTGCTAGTTACATCATGACATGCTAAACAGCCGCTGGCGCGCCTTGACCTAGGTCGCCACTCCAAGCCACTCTCTCCATATAGTACGGCACCCTTAGAAAAAGGACCCTTAAAGGGTCAACTACCCATAGTATATGTGTGTATACAAACAAACACACACACACAAAGACAATGCTGCTGGGGGTTTAGGGTTTGGGGTTTAGGGGTTAGGGTTTAGAGATTAGGACATGAGACATAGGCTCCGCAAGCCCCATCCCTAAACAAGGGACCGTCTTAAGCCCAACCCTAAAACCCTTGAGCCCCTGAACCCTCTTCCATCAATCGCCCAAACCCTAAACCCTAAACCCTGAACCCTAACCCCTAAACCCTAAACCCCCGATAAAAATCCTAGGGTGCCCGGCCTCGATCATGGTTCTGGAGTTTGCATGCACCGCTTCCAGCATC